GTTGTATTGAGTAATAAGAGTAATAATTATTAGTGTGTTACATGTTCTGCAAAAGGAGACATAGAAGTTCAGAGAGAGGGTGTGTGTGTGAGAGAGACAGAGAGAAAAAGGAGGGAAAGGAGGAGGAGGAGAGAAAATAAGGTGGTGGCTAGGTGTGAATGGTTCAGTGCATACTATGATTATGGTACCATGTTAGGTCCTTTATGGGGATTATTTCAACAATCGCTCCCAGAAACCCAATGAAGTCAATACTTTACATGTGAGGAGGTTGAATAATTAGCTCAATTAGGATGGGATAATGAACCCAGGAAATCCAATTTGAGCCATTGAAGCCACTGTGCTGTTCTGCTTCTTTGCAGAAGTGCCTGCCAGTGTCCTTCCCGGTGTTGTCACCCTAGTCAACTAGAGGATCTGAAAACTGAAGCCTTCCCTGCTGAGAGTGGGAGAATACCACGAGAATGCTGTCCTCATGTTACATGCCTCAGATTGCAGGAAAGCCAGTCTCTAGCCTGGAGGCCAACCAGCTTCCCTCCGCAGCCCCATTCTCTCCAAAAAGTGGCTGTTCACTAAAAATCAAGACCATGAGGTCTTTTCCTGACTTACAGCATCTTACAACTATCAACACATGAGAAAAACTCTTATATCTGATTTTAATAAAATATATTTTTCTCATCAAAATATTTTTTGATAGCACAGAAAAAGAGATGCATGTTCATTACTGGGTGTCTCTCCCTGGCATTTTCCACGTGAGGATCGTCTAAGACCAAGCACAGTGGGTACTGGAGATAGCTAACTGTGCATGATTTAACATAGTCCCAATCTTTATTTTCACGGGGACAAATGCAGTCCCAGATGGGGCCCCTTAGGATGTAAGGACATGTCCACTGACCTAACTGCATTGGTTGACAGTGACATAGGTTCAGACAGGTGGGCCAATGTTGTTCCAGACTGACCTTTATTTGCTCTAAAAAGGGAGCAAAGTAGGGACAGCGGCACACTGGTTGCCAGGCTGCTCTAGTCCCAAGGCTGAGGCTGGGGACTCATGGAAGAAGGCAGTGCCTCAGACAGAGAAAGGAGAAAGAAAACAGGTTCTGACTCTTGGGATGGCAGAACTAACAATAATGTTACATTTATGCTCTGGAGTCTTCACTAGGGCTTCTGCTCAGAACCAATTATAAATTTTCAGGCAAAAATGGCTCTAAGCTGCCTTTCTAGGTTTATCTTCACCAGTCTCCTGCCACCATCCTTGACTCCAGCCAAGGCAGGCTTCTAGCTCTTTCCAAGGGCTGTCTACCTCTCTCCCTGCCTGCCACTTCAGATGTTATCCATTCCGTGAGGATGGTCTATTGTTTTGCAGCCTTGAGTTTTGATGCCTCAACCTGATATGATCTCTCCTCCCCTGAAGAACACAGACCTTTCGTTAAGGGAGGCACTTTCTGTGGAAGTTCCTGTGTGAGAGCAGTGTAGCAGTGTAGTGGTTATCTGCATGGTCAGAAAATTCCACTCCTTCCCTGATCAGCACGTGATTACAGGCAAGTTGTTTATGGACAGAATGGCAACCATACTAACCATGGCCACCAGATGCTCAGTGTTTACTCTGTATGGGGACTTAGAGATATTCATCAACTCATTATATACTCACAACAACCTATGAGGTGAGCATGGCTCTTGTGCAGATGAGAAAACAGAAGCTATGATAGCTTAAGTGACATGTCCAGGCTCACACACATGAGAAAGAAGGCTTTGATCTCAGAGAATTTGGTCCCAGAGCCCTTTGACCAAGATGCTACCACCCCACTAGGGTCTCTGTTTTCTCATCTGTAAAATGGGGACTGCAATGATATCCACCTCGTAGGATGGTCATGAAGACTAACTAAGATAATACAAGAGAGTACAATCATCTGGAGATCAGTGGTTCCTAGCTGCTATCATTGTTATCACCATATGTCTCATCTCTTTCTTGTCCCAAAATGAAACTGGATGGGCAGGATGGTCATGTCCTCCTAACTCTTTGTGTCTCATGTGGTGTCACCCTGTGCCCAGCACATTCATCACAGTGACTTTGAGAAGGTCTGTCAGCTCTGGGCCTGACCCAGGCTCAAAGAGATCGACAAAGGGTTCTAGATTTTTCCTAGAATTTGGAGACATGTGTCCTAAGTAATTGTGGACTCCTGAGCCATTGTGCTTTTGTGCTTTCATGGCATTTGACCCCCCATTGCCAACTCCTGCTTTAGACAAGTTATCTAACCCCTCTCCTTGAGGTCTCCTGAGCAACGTTTCAACATAATCATTTCTTTCTCCTCTACCCTCGCCTTCCCCTTCCCTCCTCTACCCTCTTTCCTTCTCTCTTCTCCTATCTCCTCCCCTCATCTCCCTCCCTCCTCATCTCTCCTCTCCTCCTCATTCCCTCCCTTCTCCTCCCTTCCCTTCCCTCCTTCCTCTCCCCTCCTCTTTCTCTCTGCCATTCCCCCCTTCTATCCTGTTCCCTATGTCCTCTTTCCCTCTGTTGGTCACTCTCAGGGCAGGAATGGTCATCTGAACTCACAACTCCGTATTTGATTTCTCCAGTAGGTCAAGCAGCATCCCAGGCCCCAGGCCTGTGAGCCAGAGTCTGTGGAACCAGGGCCCCTCACAGCTCAGGAACATCTGAATGGCTTTTAGGGTATGAGGTGCTTTATCCAGGAGCACTTCTTCCCTTGCTTGGATTTAGTACATCCCTGGGACTGATATGGCTAATGAGGCAGCTGATATGAAGCTGCTTCTGACTCCTTTCCTGCACAAACAGCAGTGGACAGGAGTGGGGAGTCCCAGCTCACTTATGCTGGAGTCCTGGTTAAATGGCCCTATCTCTAAATAAGTTTACGCCAGGAAGAGCATCCTCCATCCCTTTATGGAAATAAAAATTAAAAGGAAAACCGATGCTGCAGCCCTTTTAAAGGACACTTTGCCTTGCCCAGGTCACTCAACTTGTGGCAGAGGGCATTTCTATTACACTGTTCTTTAATTAAACCCAGAAGGTAACCAACAAATAATCCTTCACAGAAATAATGTCTTAAAGGTTGGTGCGCCTGGGTGGCTCAGTCAGTTGAGCATGACTCTTGATTTCGGCTCAGGTCATGATCTCGTGGTTGGGTAGTTCGAGCCCTGCATTGGGCTCTGTTCTGGTGTCGTGGAAACTGCTTGGGATTCTCTCTCTCTGCCCCTCCCCCACTAATGTTCTCGTTCCCTCTCTCAAAATAAATAAATACACTTAAAAAATCATGTCTAAAAGATGAAAAAGATTAGTTTCCTTTATGCATCCAGTTTATTGTCAGCAGTGCAATTAAATTCTATCGTATGTTGTGGTTTGAGGGTCCACAGCTTTGAGGGGCTCTTCCTGAGCCCCTTCACAGGGACGGGGCATGGGTTTGTAATGAAGCTGAACACGCGGCCCTGCCTCTGATGGGACAGGTCCCCGAGGGAGCACCTGCTTTGGGGGCGGCTCACCCTGATTATACACCAGCACCTGACGCTACTGAATTTGTATTCTCACAGCACTGATGCACCTCTGGAGGAGCCCTCTGCTACCCCTCCATACATTTGTTTCTCCTTCTGCCTGCAGACCCTGCACACCCTCATTTTCCCTCCTTCTCCTAAGGCCTCTTTCATGGATGTTGCTGTGACAGAATGTGGGCGGTGCCTGAGCTGAAAGGCCCAAAGACACGTGATGACTTAGGCCCTCCTCGAAATGAAGGGCCTGGGCTCATTGTCTCAAGGGGCATGATTTGTCTGTGTTTGGGTGAGCCTCGGACTGGGGTGACTCATGACACAGTAGTCCTCAAGTGCCATCCACATGGGCACCAAGACCCAGTGACAGCCCCGCTGAATGCTACAGGACAGTCATTAGCTTTACAAATGATTCACAGCAAGTGATTCATAAGACTCAAGGCCTACTGCCTCTCTCCCTCACCACCTCCAGGGGCATTTAAAATATGCACAACTTGGTAAACTTTATCACTTTAGAAGAATGAAGCTTAAGACCTGTGCTAACTCTTTTAATCTCTTCAGGAAAAATGTTCTTCAGCAACTTGGAAAGGCCTCTAATCCCTGGATAAGGCTGACAAATGGTGTCATACCCCAAGGACATAGATGGAGGCCTGGGTTTCTTCTCACAGGGCAGGAAGGTGTCCCAGGACGTGGCTATAGATGCTGCCAGTGCTCCCCAAAAGAGGGAGCAACCCAGTGGCTTTATTTGTCTTCCATTCCCACCCATCCTCAGCCCTCCTCTCCCAAACTCCTTTGAACTACTTGGGCAGAGATTTCTGATGGTAAATGAAGAGACAAGATAAAACTAGCAGCCAAAACAGGCAAACTAACCCTATGGTGATAGAACTCAGAAAGGTAGTTATCTTGGTGATGGGGAGGGGGTTATTTTCCTCTTGGAAAAGACACAAGGAGGGAACTTTATGGGATGTTGGGAATCCTCTCTGTCTTCCTCTGGCCAGTGGTTGCAAGGTGTCTACATATATGAAAAGTCATCGTCACCAAGCTGACATCTCAGTGTGTGCAATCTGTGATATACAGTTATATCTCCATGAACAACAGTACTGTCCCAACACAGGTGGGGGATGATCCCAGTGGTTTCCATTTCATGCTATTCCTGACCCACTTTATTCTGGAGACACTGAAATTCTATCTGTATCCATTACTCATCTTTATCTTCCTCCACAAGTATGTTTATACCCATAGGTTATATTTATATCTGCAGCCACATCTATATATTTAAATCTGGAGAGGAGGGAAAAGTGTTATATGTGTGTGTCTATATATAGGGCAGTTTACTTCTTTCAAAGAACAGGAGGATCTTAGCTCCCCCCTCCTCATTTTTTTTTTGAGCAGGACACACATTCATACACACACACACACATGCACACACACACGCACACACATACGCACGCACTAAGCCTAGATGCCTGCTCAATAACCTTGCCTTCTCCCTTGTCTAAGATGGCAAAACTGACCTTGATGATGAGCTTGGGGATCGTCAGCACGGTGGACTTCTGCTTGGCCAGAACATCCCTGGTCTCACTGACACGCGCTGTGACAAAGAAGTGCAGGAATCCTTGCTCTAGCAGCTGGCCCATGTACTCGCCTGCTCTGATCAGCACCTCCTGTTTCTTGACTGGTGGGAGAGAAACAAATATGCAGAGCATTAGCCGGGAGTGAGACCTGTTTGACTTGCTCCGAGTGCTCCGTCCTTCCCATACTAGCTTAGTGTCCACAAGAACCACAGCAAAGGTCAGGGGCAAATGGAACAGAGTTAATCAAGGACAAAGCCTCCTGTTTCTCAGGTAAAACAAGAATGTGCTAGAAATTTTAATATTCAATAAGGCCTTACTAGAGAAAATAAGCCGATTTGTTCTCAACAGTGCTTTTACTGTTGTAGAAATGCAAAGCTGTGTCAGAGATGTTTAAAGTCAAGGACCAAAGGGTTTTAACTGCGGTTGCTTTGAGTTGTCCCAAATGGCAGATGTGGAGTAGTGAAATGCAAGGCCACTTCGTACAACAAGAAACATCTCATAGGCAATAGGCCACCATTAAGCAAAAACGGTCTACTCCTTAAACCTTTTCCTTGTAGTGCTCCACATTTTCTTTCCAGCCTTTTCTGTACCAATCTGACATGATTTTTCTATTTAAGAGAAAGAAGCCTTTGAAACCAGTTTTTACCCTAGGCATTCAGCTCTTTCCCACCCCATTCCTATTTGCAACTTAAAAGACCTTTGTGCCAAATGCTTGTTTCCTCAAGTCACTGATTTAGCTTTTAGGTGTTGAGGACAGGCCAGTGAGGAGGGCATTTGGAGAATGGAGGTGGGGGGGGGAAGGTGGTCTGGGTTCCCCTCCACTCACCACCTGGGCTAAGGGCAGGAATGCTCTCTTTGTGGCTCTGAGTACAACAGTGAGGTTCTGTTCAGTGGCATCTCCCATTTTCTCTATCATTCTCATTTGCCACTGCTCAGGGTTCAAGAGAGCAAAGCCCACTTCTTCTGCATTGTCAGCCAGGTAGGCAGGCCATCGGGGAAACAGGTGGCTCCCACCCCCATCCCCATGCACAAAACACAGACTCTGTAAATGTTCATGGAATCAAACATCTCCACCACTGCCTCCCTGCCTAATGTCTGCCTTTGGCCAAAGATTCCTCCTCCCTGTGGAAGTTATTGAAAGAAACGATTCCCATGAGCCATACTTGAAGTGTAAGGCACAGTCCCCAATTAGAGCAATCTGAAATGAGGACAGGGCACTGCATGGGGTGAACCAGGGCACAGGGAAGTCCCCCTGACTTCTTGACCCACAGGCGAGGGTACATCAGCCCATCTGTGCTGGGCTCATCATCTGTGTCAAAGTTTCTTCATGGATGACAAGGTGCTGTGATGGCCTCAAGCCTCTGACTGAAGAGTTCTGAATTCTGGTTGCAGATCACAATCACCTGGGGACATTTAAAAACCTGCCCTGATGAATCCCACCACAGACCAATTAGATCAGAGTTCTTGGGGCTGGGGCCCAGGCATTATTTTAAAAGTTCTGGAGCAGCTGACTTTAATGAGCAGGCGGGTGGGGAGGCACTGCTCCCACACCCCAGAGGATCCCCATAGAATCAGCTCTGTAGAAGCCTCGGGTCACGTGGAAGGTACGGCCCTTCCAATCCAGCTGCTTTCTGCTCAGAGTGTGGTCTGCAGCCTGCAGCACAGCCGTCATTAGAAAAACAGGTTTTCTGATCCCAGCTCAGTTTACTGAATTCGAATCTGCATTTGAATAAGTGTCCACGTGATTCATATTCAGCTTTGAGAAGCTCTCAGATATAAGAAGGAGGTTCTAACAGTAGAAGGGGTGGAGTTAGGGTAGAATTACGGTGGATAGTTTCAATCTTAAAACTGCAAGTCCATGCAATTCCTGGAAAGCTGGAAAGGTTGATCATTCTAGGCTAGTGGTTGTCAACTGGGTAGAGGCCAAGGATGTTGCTAAATATCCTAAATGCATAGGAAAGCCCCCATAACAGCCTGAAATGGCAGTGATGCTTTGGTTGAAAAACCCTGCCCTAGGCTATGCTGAATTAGTAGAATGTATTGGTTCATCTTAGACAAGTACTAAACAACATGACTAGGTTTTCTGGGGTCAGTCTTATTCCATTTAGAGCCAGCCTTTAGAATCTATGACCTTGGTTTGACCTTGGCCCTTGAATTCTTTTTTGAATGACCCATTCATATTGCCTTCTTTGGGTCTGAGCCCAGACCCTGCTTCCTCCATGGCTTTCCTGGTAATTAACTGTCCAGACATTTAAGACTCCATCTCTTAACTGGCTATAACCTCAGATTAACACAAGGTGCCTATTTTTCACCGCTCACTCCCCTGATCTGGACAGATGCAGTAGCAAAATGGTATGCCTTGAAGAACATGCATTTTCTCTCTAGCTGCCTCCAGTAATAATAATAATTTAAAAAATCGGACTCCTTCTGATTATTACTGGAGGGCTGTGTTTGATTGCTGGGTTCCTTTAGGCTGGCAAGATGTGCCTGACTTCTTTCTACCAATCTTAACAGTGGCTTTTGCTACCTTTATAATGTTGGCACCAGGGCATTATTCTCTGGGGTTGGAATATTCTCTAAATCATAGCACTAAGGAAACTGGGCTGTGCTTCCAAGCCCAAGAGAACAGTGCTCCTGAAATAGTATGTTATGTAAGTGCTGTGTTTTGCCACTGCACAAGAAATTGTTCTAGATAAAGTTTATTAAACGTGGCAAGAGAAAGAAGAATAGGTTTTCATTCTATGAGTGGTGGGGCTGGGATCCTGCCAATATCATTTACTGTGTCTGGGGAAAGCCAAGGGAGACACAGACAGGAGCTGCCTCATCTCTTTTCCCAAAAAGCAAAGAAAACTAAATATAGCCAAGTGGAAATGATAGCACCTTTGAAGGTACTGGAAGGTTTAAGTTATTCAAATCTTCCAAGCTGATTCTAGCCCACACATTCTCTTTAATCATCAATCTGGAAAGTATGTCTCCCATTCTACTTGGAAAACTTTCTTTGTAACAGAGCTGCCTAGGACTGTACTCTGACCTGCTCGACCAAAGTCTAGAGTCAAGTGGCACCTTGCAATACACTGATTTGTTTTAGTTTCTTCTTTTGCAATTTATTTTAGATTGCAGTATGCAACCTACTGCATACAGCCAATGCCACCTGGCTTGCCACCTAGTCAACGACTGGAAGGGTTGATGGATCATGCCATTCCAGCCCACGAACTCATATGAGCTCCTTCTCTCATTGGATTAGAGAGAAAGGGGGAAGAAGATGGAGCGATGGTTCCCAGTGAAGTGGGAAAAGGATGGTGTATAGTTAAACCTGAGTGAGATCATGCCTCATTTCTGCTCAAAACACAATATGGGCTCCTGTGCCCACTTGGAATCAAAGCCAAAACCCTCACAAGGGCCTACAGTTCTTTACATGGTCTATACCCACCACTCTTCCCTGGCCACCTTTGCTCCCAACTTCGGTTTCCTGGCTACTTGTTGAACACATCAGACATGCTCTGCCCTCAGGGCCTTTGCATTTATAGTTTATTTCTGGCTGCAAAGCTTGCTCTTTTCCTTCTGTCAGGTTTCTGTTAAATGTTACTGGTTAGAGAGGTTTTCTCTGATCACCCTACCCCCACAGCATCCCCTCCATCCCTCACCTTGCTTTACATTTTCCTATTATATGCAAACCATACTATGTAGTACTTGTTTGTTTATTATCTGCTCCCTGAAGACCACAAACTCCATGAGGGTAGGCACTTCTGTTATGTTCATTGCTGTGCCTTTGGCACAAAACAGCGTCTAGACATTCAGCATGAAATAAGGGTTTGGGGAATGAGTCTAGAACCCTGTGATGTGGGTGGTAGTGTTCCTATGAACAGAAGAGCTCTGATCAGATCACGTAAGTAACTTGCCTCAGGACACACAGCCGGCAAGTGAGGTAGTCACACCTAAAATCTCGATTTATCTAATTTCAAGACCCACTTTCCCTAAACTCCATTGTGTCTGCCTTTTATAACCAATTGTGATGCTTGTTCTCTTGAGTCCTTTATACTGACTACTCTTTTCTTTAATAATTACCTTTCCTACCTCAAGAGATATAAGAAAAGTGCCAGATCTCCCAGTTTCAAAACAGAACAAAACAAAACAAAATACCATGGTGATTTCCTAATTGTTAGCCACGTTACTACAGCTGTGGAAACTTGTTTCCCCAATCTTGTAATTAAGATTTTTCAGAATAGTTCCCCATTTTCCTGGGAATACTTTTGAAACCTTAGAAGGGTAAACTTCCGGTGGCCTTGAATCCAGAAAGCTTAAGGACACTTGTGGTGTATGAGTTGGTCATCCCGGGGGAGGGGGGTGTATTAGTCTTACTTGCCTCCATGTTGTAAAACTTATTGTTTGTTCACCGTTAAATTTTTTTCTTTTTCTGGGCCACATGTCAGAGCAACAGAAATCCAGTGCCTTGAAGCATTCAGGTCCTTTCTAACCTGCTCTAATTCGACATGCTTCACCTGGAGGCCAGGTTCTCCCAGTTAACTCATTCTACCAGTTGTGTGACCAACTTTTGTGCCCCCTAAATACTAGTATCCCAAGAAATGGGTACTATTCAAGATTAGTTGAAATTGCAATCCCCAATGCAACCTGTCCAGCTCAGTCATGCTTAAAATATTCTGAACTTTTATAGTGAAGGAGGTGCTTTGGAAGGCCACATATTTGAGGGAGGCTGCCTAGGATCGAGGATGAGAAAGAGATCCCATAAGAGGTGGCAGAGAGAACAAAACCCTTCAGAGGCTCCTGGACAGCACATCCTGGGTCTCTAGTTTCCTCTTTCAAGGGTGGGCTCTACCCTGTCCTTATACATCGGCAGACGAGTTTTCAGAAACAGCCTGTCTGCAGAGCTTAGATCTCCTGCCTCTTAACTGGTAAAGCAAAGCACATCATTCCTGCTGGGGCAGCCCCCCAAGACATTACCTCACTTGGAGAGAGAGTTACCAGTGGGGGGCCTGCTGTCTGACACCTGTGCATCACAGAATTTCTTAGGCACTAAAATCCCCTTGGGATCTTGTTAAAATGTAAATACTGGTTTGACAGATGTGGGGTGGGGCCCAAGAATCTGCATTTCCAACCATCTCCCAGGGGATGCTGATGTTTCAGGTCCTCAAGCCACACTTCAAGTAGCAGGAAATTACATTTAATTCTCTTGACTCATGGGGCTCTAGGCTTTGACCATTTCAGTGTTCACTTGCTTTTTCAATTTTTAAATGTTATTTATTTTGATAGAGAAAGAGCACACTAGCAGGGAGGAGGGGAGAGAGAGAGAGAGGGAGAGAGAGAGAGAGGAGATAGAGAGAGAACTCCAAGCAGTCTCCTCACTGCCAGCCCAGAGTCCGATGTGGGGCTCTAACTCACAAACTGTGAGATCATGACCTGACCTGACATCAAGAGTTGGACGCTTAACTGACTGGGCCATCCAAGCACCCCTTGCTGTTCATTTCTATGCATGAGAGTTGAAGATACATTTGTAGCTCCCCTGGCAAAAAGGGGTTCTCCCGTGTGGTTCATGTTCCTGAGCCCTGGGACAGAATTTTAACTTTGGCTGGAAGTTATTAATGAGTGACAGCACCAAGCCAGACAGGGAGGCAAGAAAACAAGTCCCAAAGAGAAGAGCCCCCTCATTAGCTTACAAGACAAGGGCTCCAGTATCACTTCAAATGTCTCCTTCTTGAATTCTGCCTTGGAGACTCCCGTGTAGAAGACAATGTTGCCTGAGAGATAGGCTGAGAGGGTGTAACGGTTAGGGCTGTTGTTCTGGAAGGTGATAGTGAGCTTGAAGTCTCTTCCCAGCACGGCTTTCTCCACTTCAAAATCCATGTTCACGTCAGACCTTGGTTTGACGATGCCTTCTGTGTTGAGGGACTTTTTAGCTCCGTACATCAGGGCAGTTTCTAGGGCCAGCCTCTCTTCTTCTTGGGCTAGGAAAGATGCAGAGATAATGATGGTGAAAAAGAAATGCAATCCATCAAAGAAAAATTAATAAACACACAGTGCTCTGGGCACTGTGTGTTGTCCTTGCGCCCGTATCCTCCATAAGCCACGCAATTTCCTTCGAGACACGTATGTTGCCATTATTCCTATGTTATCAATTCTGCAAAGTCAGAGCTCTGACCTGCCCAGGCTGCTGAGTTAGGTGGTATGACCAGGACTTACCTGGAAGGGAGGTGTTAATGGGCTTGTTCTAAGGGCTGTTTCCCCAGTGTTACTACTACAGTGTTCAGCGGGTAGAGTAGGCACAATCTACCTCTCCTCAAATAGTGGCATCAATTTGCTTCTCTCCCCAAATCCTACCTAGAATTTGGGGATCTTTAAGTAAAGATTTTGGCAATAGCTATATCTATCCATCCCAGCTGTTGCTATATGAGTTTTCTGCTATTCATGAATCTTTCTGGTAAGACTTGTCTTCTTCATCTCTCTTTCCACTTGGGTCTCTCCCCTTTTCTCCTGCTGAGCTGACCCCTGGGCAACTGTCATCCTGCCCTCTACCCCTTCCTATGTTGCCATACGGCCCAGGGAGAGTGCAGAGATTTCCCCAAGCAGTGAAGAACCCCATCCACTGAGATAGGACCAGTCGTTAACAAACCTTCCCTGCCAAAGGGCTCTAAGGCCAATCTCCCTTGGGGAGCACTGGGTTCTCTAGTGCCTCTGGATGTTCATTGTATTCATTACAGCCTCTCAGAGGTTCTCAGATTGAACCCTAAAGTGAGGAGACTTATTTGACCAAGACTTCCCAAACTCATCTGACACTGAACACATTTGTTTTTAGGGACATCTATTGGCATCTGGTGATGTACCATATTTTCTAATGCAGTTTGAAATGTGTGTGCTGTTTTTAGGTAGACATCTTCTGTTTGGATTTCCAGGTGGAGGGGGGGCGGAGATGAAGGTAGGGAGGGGATGAAAAGGGATAAATTCTGGAAGAATCAAACAACAGCTTTGTGCAGGTGTGGAAACAAGAAATACAGGTACAAGTCAGGCCTCAGGGCTTGCTCCTCCTGGCTCCAAGCAGGGATAACATTTCCTTAGACACCCCTGGACAAAATGCTTGGCTTGAGGGGACAGGGCTTGAGGAGGGTGGAAAGATAGTCACTATTCTCTTTATCAGCTGACTACCTTTGGGCATATCTTTGTGCATCGTGGAAGACAGAGAGGCAAATTCTTTGACTTGTAAAAACTAGTCATGGGAATGGTTAACAACAACAAAAAAATCACTTTGAAATAAAAACGTGAACTTTTGGGGCGCCTAGGTGGCTTAGTCAGTTAAGCGTCCGACTTTTGCTTAGGTCATGATCTCGCGGTTCGTGGGTTCGAGCCCCGCATCGGGCTCTGTGCTGACTGCCAGCTCAGAGCCTGGAGCCTGTTTCAGTCTGTGACTCCCTCTCTCTCTGACCCTCCCCTGCTCACGCTGTCTCTCTCTCTCTCTCTCTCCTAGAAATAAATAAAACATTAAAAAAAAAAAGGTGAACTTTTAAATTCGTTAATTTTTTAAAATTATTTTTTAACGTTTATTCATTTTTTGGAGACAGAGAGACAGAGTGTGAGCAGGGGAGGTGCAGAGAGAGTGGGAGACATAGAATCTGAAGCAGGCTCCAGGCTTTGAGCTGTCAACACAGAGCCTGATGCGGGGCTTGAACTCATGAACCATGAGATCATGGCCTGTGCTGAAGTTAGAGGTTTAACCAACTGATCCACCCCGGCACCCCTAAGTTTGTTAATTTTAAGATAATGTCTTCTACCTTAATAGTGAGATGCAATGTAGCTGAACAAGTTAATAATAATATCTACCACTGATAACAATGTGACAGGTATTGTGATTAAGTGTTTACTCGTCATTGTCTCATTTAATCCTCAGACAACTCTACACGCACGCACTACTGTTACCATCCATATCCTTGATTGTAAAAAAAAAAAAAAGACAAAACCAAAAAGCAAAAAAAGGATGCCTACATCAGAGGATTGTTAGCAGGTTAGAGGTAGTACACGCATAAGAATTGGCAGCTATCAGTACTTTGCAAAGACAGAAAATGACAGTAGGTGTTGCAAACAAGTGTGAATGTAGTGTGTGTGTGTGTGTTTGTGTGTGTGTTAACAATTTCTCTCCTTGTCAAGATTGCAAGAATGTGCCAGAGACAGCTGGTCTAGGACAAGCATTGGCTAGCGCATATGCTTACAGATCAATAGGAGGGAGATAATAATAAAGGGAAGGAGGGGCTATGACAAGGAATGTTCAGTGAACTGTTTTAGCAGAGAGCACCTGGCAGACAGTGCCTTGAGAAAGCATTACCAATTAAGGCTTCGGATGGCCACCAGATGTGCATTTAGGCAAAATACAGGAGGGGAACCCCAGCAGCAGGGGCCTGGTCAGAGAGTGCCACCCTGAGGGAGTGGGGGGGAGAGGCCACCAAGCTGGCCCCGATGAGGGGAAGGGACTGTGGAAGGCTTGTGGTGAGCCAGGAGAGACCTTCTATGGGGTTATGGACAGAAGAGCCTCTAGGGATCAGCCTGCCCTGTGAGCAGGAAGTGCAGGCCCACGTAGGAGGCAGGGACGTCAGGGTCTCCCCAGAGCTCTGAAGAATCCCTGTCTCTCTGTGGTTGTGCATTATGCTCTGACATCTTACATAATTCAGGGCCATGAATTCAGTGCCGTGGGAGAATGATCTAAGGCCAGATTATGTTTTCTGAGATTCTGCTGTGGCCTCTAGGAGCAAGGTCAAAAGCATCTTTCCATTAGCTCAGATGTAATGAAAGCACCCTTTTATGTCTGTGGAAGCTTCTCATTTTTTCAGGTGTTAGCTCAGATGTCACCTTCTCAGAGAGCCCTCTCTTCCCTTACCCCATGTAATGTGTCCCCAAAACCAGCCCTCTCATATCTCGCTGACACATTGCCTGGTTTTCTGTCCTTTTCCCAGTACTTGATGCTGCATGACATTACTTTCCCCACTAGAACCCATCTCCAAGTCCCTAGGACCTATGATCCAGTCTGGTACAGGGACTCTGAAGGATCAAGGTTTGGGGAGGCACATTGCTTTAAACCAGAGATAAAACTTTCATCTTTATAATAGATACTAAAGAGACCAGTTTAGGACATGGGATATGCATCTAAGTTCGCCTGTGAAAGTGTCACTTGCCTTACCGTTCATTTGGTGATTTGGTGTGAGTTGAGCCACTATAACGTCCAGGCACTATACTAGGTTCTGATGAGGACTACAGCCCTTCCCTCATGGGTCTTCGGGACAAGTGCAGAGGGATTACTGTACAGGTATCCATCACAGACGCTGGGGCAGATGTTTGCATGTGGGGCAATAACATGGGGGAGAGACTCAATACCTCCCTGGGGCAAGGAAGGCTTCTTGGAAGGGTTTTTCTCTCCACAGTAAAAGCAAGGGCATGAAGACAGTGGCAGCCCAGCTCCGTGGATGAATGTCAATAGCTCTCCTGGCTGCTGCTTGGGATGCTTGTGGATATGGTTGGGAGGTGCAGTGAGGGCGCCCAAAAGGCAACTAGCTGAGGCTTGGCAAGCTCTGATTGGAATGTTCTTCAGGCAACAGAGGAGAGAAAGGGCTTTTAAGCTGTGTGGTAACAGACTCAAATTTATATTTTAAATATGTCACTTTGGCAGCAATGCATGCATTAGACAGAAGGAAAGGGGATGTGGGGGCAAGGTGGAATAAGGAAGTTACAGCAGGTAGCCAGGAGAAAAATACTCAAAGCCTGAGATAATAGTAGTACTATTGTGGTAATGGTAGAATTACCGACAGGAGTGGAAACTGACTTTTACTGGATGCTTATTCTGTATCAGGCACTATGCTAAGGGCTGATACCATTAAATTCTCAGAGAGTGGCCATGGTATAGAGATAGGAGAGGAGATGAATTTGAACTATTTCAAAGGGGACATTTAGAGGGTTTGCTGCTTGACTACATTGCTAAATGTGGGGGGGACTGTGCTTCTTTTCACTGGGGTCGGGAGTGGGGGAAACAGATCTAGGCAAGGGAGAGGGTGAGAAAAGGTGGCATTTGGGAAGGGTCAGTTTCAGGTTTCTAAGGGAGACTTAAGTGAATGTAGAGCTGACCACAGAAGTTGGGCCAACGAATCTGACTAGGAGGCGATTGGTAGATAAGCGAATGTTAACACCAACCATGGAGAAAGAATGTAAAGTGGATAGGAATGAAGCCCAAGGGTTGAGCCTAGACTAAGTAACCTTCAGAGATAGGGAACAAAAGAGGAGTTTAGAGTTGCAGAAGGGGATAGAAGAAAGAGTCAGGTAGGTTGGGATGGAACCAGAAGTGGAACAGAGAAAAAGAATTTCAAGATTCAGGGCTGAGCAGTGGCATCAAGAGGCATGGGAGGCTCAGGCAAATGGGGATCTGCAAACATTTATTCCGTGTCGCAATCAGGGGTCTTGGCAGACTTGAGAAGAGGAACTTCAAGGTTCTGCTGCCGATAGCAGAACTGAGATATGGTAGGCAAGAAAAGAAAAATGAAGGCACCCACTGGGGTGCCAAGGTCGGGCAGCGCTTTCAAGATGACTGGCTGTGGAAGCCAAGAGGAAGAAAGAACAGGGCATGTTCAGTGGGGGATATATTACTGAAAAAGAGTTTCATAATTTTTTTTAACATAGGTGACACTTGATCCTGCTTAAATAGGAATGGGAAGGAGCTAACAGAGGAGAGATGATAATACGAGTTACAGAAGGAATAATTGATGGAATAAAGAGGAAATGGGATCCAGACACCATCATAAAAGAAGATAGATTGTCGCAGAAGTTTTAAGAATTCTGGTTTTCAAAATTTTATAGTTTCCTAATCTTATATATTTGAAAAGAGGTATAAAATTAATCTTAAGCTTTAGTTCATCCAAGTGAAAAATGATCTTTCCACAATTTAGTTAATTAAAATAGTTAATTCCTAAATCTGGTAATAATTTCTTATCTATGTTTTTATTCATCTCCACAATTTAGTGGCCACATTCAGCATTTATGGAGAGAGAAATTACATGAGAAATTCGATAATGAGAATCAGAGTGACAAATGCATGACCATGGATGCCAGCAGCCTTGCCTAAGGGCCTGTGGCAACATCATAATCACTCAGCCTTTCCCACCAGATCCAGGCGCTGGCTCTGCATCCTTCTGTAAATAGCATTCCACTTGGTCATTCCTAAAGTCAGAATTTAAAATGGACCTGCCATTCTTGAGTAAGAGGCTAATTTACCCCCTGGGATCAAACTCCAGCCCAGAAGCAGGATGGGGAATCTCTTACAACTATCTCTGCAGATTTAGGGATTCTTCTGCTTGGACCAGACCCCATCTCCACCATCCTGAGCCTTGCCTCCTTGTGCCAAACTCTGGCAGCCTGACCCTCAGAGGTCTTTCTCATTCAGAGTTGGGGCATTTTATTTCTTTTAATCTTGTCTCCATCCCTGGTCAAGACCCTGACTCTTCTCCTGTGGACTGTTTTCTTTCAAAGGGGGGACGGTCTTTCCCTTTTTTGACATCTAATCCTTCTGTTTTTTGACATCTGACCCTGATTTGGCTTTTACTGCCACCTCCCTAGATAACAGCTAATGAAAATGGCTCTCTGCTGTGGTTTAGATGAGACAGCTGGTTGTCTGGACGGCTCCCTGCAGGGTCACCTCTTGCTCTCAACACTGTGTGCTCAGGACTTCTTCCAGACCAGGAGTTTATCCACAGTCCCTTTGGGCTGCCTTTTCCTGGAGTACTCTTTCCTCATGCTTCACCTGGCCGATTCCAGTTTATCCTTCTGTCTCAGTGAGCCCATCACTAATGTCCTCCAGGATCCCGAGTCTGGCTTGGAAGTTCCCCTCTCTGTGCCCTGCAGCATCTGTCCACCCCTGTTCCAGGGACCTGCCACACAATTCGGTGAGGGCTCACTTCTGCTCATCTCTCCAGCTAGACAGGAAGGCAGGAGTGTGCACCTCGTCCCTACACAGTGCTGGGAATGTGGTGGGTGGTTAATAGCAAGTTGTCGAATGAATGAGTGAATAAATACATGAACATTGCAGCTAGTCTTTTTCTTTTTTTCTATGGACTTTTATTTTTCCTTTCCCAACCTTTTTGTCTGTAACTATATAACAAGAGGGCATTACTTGCTTGTTTGGTTTTATTGTACTTATGGTTTTAAAAAACTGTCATTTCTTGGGGCACCTGGGTGGTTCAGTCAGTTAAGTCCAACTTCAGCTCAGGTCATGACCTCGCGGGTCGTGAGTTCGAGCCCCGCTTCGGTCTCTGTGCTGGCAGCTCAGAGCCTGGAGCCTGCTTCAGATTCTGTATCTCCTTCTCTTTGCCCCTCCCCCACTCATGCTCTGTCTCTTTCTCTCCCCCCAAAATAAATAAACATTAAAAAACTCTCATTTCAGAAAAAAAGAAAAAAAAAACACCTTTGTATCTATGTTGTGCAACAGATGATAGCCAATAGAAGAGAAGAATGAACCATTTCAGAGACGCAGCAAAAACTCACTAGTTCAGATGACAAAAATCCTGAATTTCTAATACAATGGAGGAGAGTTCCCAATTCAGCAAGCTTTCTCTTTATAGTGCAAATTGCTTTTTTAAATAAGAGCAGAGAGACTGTCTAAAATATTTAAAACAAATTCTGCACTTCTTAGCACTTCAGGAATACTGATGAATATTTAGGTGTATGCTAATTACTTGTCATTTCTATCCATTCACTAAAATAAATGCCACTCCTAAGAACCTCTGCTGGTGAATCATTTGTAAAATATACTCCACATTCTCCATCAAGGCACCCAAGCTCCTCTACCTCCTGTCTACTACTGACCTTGGGTAGCTTTGTCTCCAGACACTAGACACTCTGAGCTGATGGCTTAGTAATGTCTTCAGGACCCTAAACACACTGACTACTTCACACCTCCACGCTTTTGGTCATTCATGTTCCCACTGCCTGTAAGTCCCTGTCTAGATTTCTTTAACTGTGGTCTGTGACTTCTCTTATCTTAGTCTGATTTTCCTGAATATCTTGGTTAGACAGAGTGTCCTCCTTCTTTGTTCCCCAAGTCCCTTCTGCATGATGATCCTATCACTTTTCCAAGAACAGAAACTGGGTCCTACTCACCACAGGGATTCCTGGCACCAAACCCAATTCCAGACATAGAGTAGGCACCTGGTACTGATTGAAATGGACTTGAACTCAACAGCTCCATTTGAAACCATCTACACAATAACTGTTATTAACATTAACATTATTTTATAACTGAAACGGCCCTTCAACCTAATTGGCCTGAATTAGTGAGATCGCACTGTCCTATTAATATTGTATTATCTTTCTCAAGGGACTTCTGAGATAATTCAGTGGAACGATGTACGTGAAAATAGTTTGTAAAGTACCAAACAAATGTGGATGGTTGTTTGAATTTCTTTTATTGAACTAAAATGACATTAGTTAGACAATGTTTTCTATTACTGAAACTTAAGATTCTTTTGTGTTTTTGTGAACAAGAACACATTCTATATTGTGTGAAAATAGACATGACTTTAAACCAAATCATTTTTACAGGCCATGTGAAAGGGAATTCTACTCAAAGCAAAGAAATAAAGAGAACTACATGGGAAAATTGTGGGTGTGGTGTGTTTACCTCATGAGAGTTTATAGTTCATTTTCTGGGACACGTTTCATAGTGACAGTGGGGAAGTACCAAACAAGCTTGGGCAAAGAAATCTTCATTCAGTGGCAATAAGTTACCTTCCTGGAATTTGTAGTTATCAGTAATATCCTTTATGCCATCTCCTCCAACTTCTTTGGTCACAATTAATTTCCCAATGTGGGTGGTATCAACGTTTTCAACCACGTGAGTGCCATCTTTCTTGACGGTAATGTAAATGAGATCACTGTTGACCTAAAAACAGGAGAGGACAGCGTTAGCCATCATCCAATGTCCTTGTCACCAAAATCTTTCTCAGGGATGTAGTCATCTGGGATCCCTACAGTTGACATGTTCCTTTCTTCAACAACATTGACTTCACAGGGCTGGACTCATTTTAAAATTGTTACCAAGGGCAGCCTAGCTTCCATTAGCCACGAGGTGTCATAAATTAAGAGTACATGGACTATTGATTGTTCAAGCATCAATGATTTCTTTCTCCCCTTTTTCTTGCTAGTGAATCCCACCTCTTCATAAAGAGCCAAAAGCACCACGCCTGTTACTTGATTTCCCTGACTGCTTTTAAGCCAGCAGTGACTGTGTGACCTACTGCCAGGAAGAAGAGGAAGTCTGTTTGGGTGGCTTCTGGGAAGGATTCTCCTCCATTATAAGGGAGAGAGTTTGCCTTTCCCTTCCGGCTTTTGCATGTTTTCACATGAAGTGAGTGACGCTTGGAGCTTCTGTAGCCACTCTGGGACAGTGAAACATTGGCAACAAAACAAAGATGGCCAAGAAGAAAGATAGGAAGCACATGAGGGTTTAACAGTGCTGTTAAATGTCTGAGCCAACCTTGGGACCACCTAATTTAGGATTACTTACAGGAGAAAAACTTACGTTAAATTCCTCTTGTTTAAGTCAACATTTATTTTAATGTTACTTGCTGCCAATAGCATTCTAGTTGAAAAATGATATTAGGATATCAGGAAAAATTCAGGCAACTTTCTGGATTCAGCAAGTAAACCATGTTATTTGTGGTATTTGGAAATAACATCTTGGGGCCATGCTGGCTGACCCCTAAGCTCTCTGACATTCTGCCTTATCACTCTACTTTTCAGAGACAATGTCTAAAGCTGTGCCTGAAGGCTGATTCTCAGAGAGCCTCTTTTTATATTCTTTACAAACACTTTCTTGGGATCCCATTTATTAGCATGGGAGTGGGTAGGAAACACAAACTATGGTGCATTATCAGGGGCACCAGCTGAAAACAGTCTTTGATGTGTTCATGAAATGTTTTCTAAGCTGCAGCTTCCTACTCTTTCAAATAGAGCAATAACAGCAACTTCCTCAGGGTGGTTGGCAGAATTAACTGAAAAGACGTCTATAAATTACTTATCATAGGGCCTGACATGGATCAAACACTCAATAAATAATAATAATAATAATATCATAAATTAATAAATAAATAATACTGCCAAAGTACTATAGTGCTATAGTCTTAAAATGGACAAACTACATTTGGTCACTGACTGCCCTTATAGGATTTACTTTCTAATAAGGGAGATCCTGTGCATTAGAATCAGCTGGGGAACTTTTCAAAAAATAGATGCCCAATCAAGGAGGTCTTGGGTGGGATCTTAAATCTATTATTTTTTTATATTTAATTTTTAAATTTTATTTGAGAGAAAGAGAGCAAGAGAGAGCATCCTAAGCAGGCCCCATGCTCCCACGGCCCTGCAATCATGACCTGAACCGAAATCAAGAGCCAGAATCGTAACTGACTGAGCCACCTGATGCTCCTAAATCTATTATTTTTAAAAGAAGATCTGAAATAATTGTCTTGGACACTCAGACTTGAGAACCCCAGCAATATGGTACAAGAAGTACCTTGTGGGGGAATGTCTAAGATACCATGGGAGCACCTGGGGCAGTGGGATAGGGCAGTGTGAGCATGGTTAGGAAACAACAGCCAAGTTGAAAGCTAGAGGATGTGTAGGAGTTAGCAAACTAAAGGATCTCATGTTAAGTGTTCTTACCACCCAAACACACGGAAATTTTGGGAGGCAATGGCCATGTATAGTTCTTTCATTGTGGGGAGGTGTCACATGTGTATGGGTAAGTCTGAACTCATCAAGATGTATATATGAAATGTGTGCAATATGTTACATTAATCATACCCCAAGAAAGCTAAAGAGAATAAAGCAAAAAGTTAAAAAAACAAAACAGAATGGAGAGAGGAAGATTGTGACAGAAAGAGGGATTGGCCATTGCCACAGATCTCTGAGGGTATTTGAGAGACACACTGGATCAGCTGCAAGAATCTTGGGTTCTGATCTTGAATGCGTACTTTTAGAAAGTCGTCCTCTCTAAACTTAATTTCCTGTTTCTATAAAATGAAAATAATAATACTTGTTCTGCCAATTTCATAGGAACGTTTTAGTGAGATAGGATCTATGTGAGCATGGCTTGTAAACTTTAAAACTGAGTAAAATGTAATGTTTTTTATTAGGTAATGTGGAACTTGATGATAGAACCCTAACTTTCCAAATTGAGTTTAAAAAGAACAACGTCACTGCTTTCTCACAAAATGTTCTGAATTTACTTGAAATATGACCTCTACTAAGGAGAAAACAAGTAGCCATCATCTATTGAATAACCACAAGGTTTCAGGGACACTTACAAATTATTTGATTTAAACCTCACAACCACAGCCACCTGATAATAATATATATTATTATCCCTATTTTACAGATGAGGGTGCTAAGTGGGTCAAGAAGGGTTAGCAAAGTGTGTATAGTCACATAGTTGGTTGCTGCTAGAGAATGAAAATCCTGGGTTGGCCCACAGCCTGTTCCCTGACCTTCACCATGCATTGCCTCTCCCACATGCTCCTGCCAGACCATAAGTGCCACCATGAGGTGGTGTGATGATTTCATGCCTGGGGTTCAGGTGGTTACATGCATGGGCCTCAGATATCTGAGGGGAGATAAATGGTGGCCTTGTTCTTCAGCAAAATAACCATGGCTTCATGGCATCAGCCATAGAACATGAAAAGCCAAAATATGAAATCAGGACTAGGAAATAATAGAGCAGTCACCTAAGGGATATTTGTCATGGGGGCGGGGGAGTAAAGAAACTAAATGAGCTTCCTGAGAATTTTGGCTTTTCCTTTGGAGGAGGCCATACATGCCCAAACAGCTTTCTCCTTCACTTGCAAATTATAGCAACAATGTTGATAAATATCCTCTTAATAACAGCCCTTACAGTTTTCCAGGGAGACAAGGCTAAATATGAAAGTGGCTAAATCATTGTTTGCCCTTGAGTATAGAGCTTAAGAAATTTATGTGGGCTAAAATCTCAGGCCAGCCCAGCAGCACTGTCCTTTGTGGAGAGAGGAGAGGAGAAACCCACATATGAAATGGCTATTGCATATGTATGTTGAGGGAGTGTGGACAGAACATATTGTTTCCAATCGACATTAGCAAGCTTTCTTTTGGTTTCAGCCACCAGTGCAATGGTTCTCCATTTCGGCTGTGTATGAGTTACTGAGGTTTTAAAAGAGTACTGGTGATAACCTGGAGGCACCTGGGTGGCTCAGTTAGTTGAGTGTCTAGCTTTTGGTTTTGGCTCAGGTCATGATCTCACAGTTTGTGGGTTCAAATCCCAAGTGGAACTCCACACTGACAGTGCAGAACCTGCTTGGAATTTTCTCTTTTTCCTCTCTCTGCTCCTCCACTTCTCATGCTCTCTCTCTCTGTGTCTCAAAATAAATAAGTAAACTTAAAAAAAAGTACCAGTGATAGGCCCCCCACCCAAGGCCAATTGCATGTCTGTGGTAGACTGCTATAAGTGCAAATGATGCTGGAAAGAATATTGGACCTACACTGTGTGACTTTGGGCAAGTTACTCAATATCTGAGAGCTTGGGTTTAAAATTGCCATTCTTGCAGGGCTGAAAGGTAGATCAGTATACTCTGCATCAGCTTTTGTTAGCTTGCTTGCTTGATTCACTGACCCATCCATCCATCCACCCATCCATCCATCCTTCATTCATACATTCGTTCAATAAGTGTTTATTCATGACTACAATGTGCTAGAACTTGATTTCAGTGGTGAGGATACATTCATGGAGCTTATATTCTAGAAGGGAGAAAAAGAATAATACTGAGACACTGTAGAAGGATTAAAGCAATAGGGCAGGAAGTAAGATTTTCAGGTGGGGGGAGGGGAATAAGGCCTTTTTGAAAAGGCCTGTGCAGAGACCTGGATGCAGCAAAGGGTTAGGCATGCAAAGTGTGGTAAAGGCTGGGGAGGGCTTTCCTAGCAAAACGAATGATATATATAAAGATTCAGGAACAAGAGTATGTTTGCATGTTGCCAGAAGAGCAAGGTCAATATAGCTGGAAGGAAATGAGCAAGGGATAGGGGTGGAAGGAAAGCCAGTGGCCAGATCACACAGAATCTCGTAAAGACTTATGTGCAGTTTTAATGTAAGGGTGGAAGAAATCCATTAGAAGGTGTTTTATTTACATTTTTAAAGGACAATTCTGGCTGGTTTATGGGAGAATACACAGGAGAGGGGTAAGAGAGGAGAAGGAGGTGGGCTAGGGATCAAGTTCATAGAGCTCAGTGTTGTACAGAGCTCAAAGGGTAACAATGGGGATCACAGACCTGACTAGATGCATGGTGTATTTAGAAGGTATTTCTGGCAAAATGCATGAGGAAGATTGAAAAGAGAAGCCAATCTGATCCCCAAATCATATATGCTATTTGTATAAATGGAGGAATTATTTTAGATCTGAATAGGAGCCCTAAGAATGGGCTAACAAGTGATAGAGAAATAACCTTGAGTTGAGAACTACTGACCTGGAGCAAGAGAACTTGCTACATAGCTTCTGAGCAATGGAGCAGTTACCCTGGCCTGGGGGAACCAGTCATCATTGCTGCAAACATCAGCTCAATTCCAGAGAGGGAAGGAGGAGGGTGCGTGTACATGAATGTGCATGTGTGTGCAAGTTTAGGATGGGATGGTGTGAAGGGGAAGACAAAGCCAGCAAGAAGAAGCTAAGATAGAAGTGAAGCAGCAACTCCCAAGAGCTCAGCGAACATAGAAACTCAGGAGGTGACTCTGGACCTTAGGACTGCTCTATGTTCTCCCTTTAGAAGCCATAGGCCACCAGGAGTTGGGGAGAGAAGAGACAGACAGGCTTCTAGAATGGAGGCCTTCTCAGAGCATAAGGGAGGAGGGCAGATAAATGGTCATCAAACCCTGGGAAAAATCTAGACACATGAAGAATAAATCTCTACAACAGAGGAGGAGAGGGAAAGGGGCAGAGGTTGGATGCTTCCCATGCACACACCTCTTTTTTTAATTTTAATTTTTTTATTCGAGTCTAGTTGACACATGGTGTTACATAATTTTCAGGTGTACAACACAGTGATTCAACTTCTCTCTACGCTATGCTGTGCTCACCACAAGCGTAGCTCCCATCTGTCGCTACACAACGCTATTACAACATCATTGACTACATTCCCTGTGCTGTGCCTTTCATCCTCCTGGCTTGTTCTATAAGTGGAAGCCTGTATCCTCTGCTCCCCTTCACTTCTTATTTTGGATTCTGCTTTCACTCAAGGAGACCACGGCACTGAGAAGATCAAAACACGTCAATGAACATGATGTTTAATCCAGCCCGGAAGTGAGTAAGGAATGACCAAGAAAGTCAGCGAAGCGAGAGGCAAGAAAAGGCACACTCTGCTGACTGCCTGCGGTGTCTACAGTCAGGCTTCTGCAGCCAGCGGATGGAAAAGGGAAGGGAGGGTGCAGAATGAACCTGAGTCACGGACACTCTCATTAAAGTTAAATACAATGGCCCCCATGCAGTCCTACTTTGGGTACTCTTGAGAAAAGATTCCTCACACACTTTCAACAGTTTGAGTGTCTCTTATAAATGGCTCAGCCCTGGGGCTCAGCCCGTGCCAAAGCAACAAATTGTATGCTCTGTCAGACAAGTCTGCAGTGGCTGAGAGCTGAGTAATTATAATCTGCGAATCCCGGTGACACGCATAACACCCCGATCTATATTTAATAATAGCAAAAAGCGTTTGCATTAACAGCTATTAGGCGATGCGCTCTTGGAGAGAGGTCTCCTTCTTTGCAGCAATAAAGCATAATAATAAAAATATGAAAACAAGGCTTTGTGAATTTTAGAATGATTTCCCATTAAGAGGTTCTCCCAGCATAGTAAACTATCAGTTGGCGGCTGGGGAGGTTGGGAGAAATCTTCAAATCCCAAAATGAAATCGAGGGGATGAAATCCTAAATACGGTCTGCCTGTTTCCCCCAGTCTTCTAGCAACATCAATGGTATTTTCTGTGGAAGAAATACTGTTCCCTTTGTGTATTTCAAATGCCTGATCTTGCTGTCTAATATCCACACTTACTTTACTTTCTAAACATTTCCGGATGGTGCCTCAGCCTTCCCCACTTTGCTGTTGCCATTTGTGAGGTTTAGGCCCCTGCCCTCTCTGGTGGGAATGGAGAAAGCACAGCTTCCCAACTGACTCCCCCTCACCCCTGCCCTGCCCTCTGGGGCACCACCTTCAAGTCCAGGCTCCACCAGGCTTACCTTTCTTGCCTGTGGTGACTCCTTTACAGGAGGCAATGACCATTTTTCAGGACATAAAGTCCCCACATCAAGTTCCTTCTGCCTTCATCTTTGACACCCCTGATGCATCATTTTTCATGAGCCTACACAGCTTGTAATTTCCCATACACATCATCCTGATGCTCAATTTGTCCCCTCTACCTAAAATTCTTTCCTTTCTCTGGCATCTTTCTTACCCCCTTGGCCTCTGTGTGTTCCCAAAATGCTCTACTCATCCACTGTGGCCATTACACAAGTGTCATTATTGTCTGCCCTCATGTCACTCTCCCTCCCTGGACTGTGTTTTATGGCCTTTACTGTCCTACTTAGTTACTACCCATATTTCTCAATTAACACATCTGTATGTATTAAATGCAGGTCATTTATCATCTACATTGCTCATCTGACAATTAGTTCCACAGAGTCTTTGTATTACTGTTATTTAACTTTTGATGTGCCTTACGTACTATCACCTCCCATCAAGAATCTAGTTTCTTAAGGGCAGAGGCTTCTGAATTCCCCACAGGACAGTTCCTGTCACATACTTATAACAGGTATTTATTCATTCCAGAGTAGTAGTAGAGTGTGGTGGTTACTGGCGTGAGCTCGAGTACCTGCCTGGCTTTAGATCTTAGCATTACTTTTTATTACTTCAATGAATGTAGGACGGTTACTTAACCACTCTGCCTCAATTTTATTTTCTGTAAAATGGGAAGAATCATAACTTACTTTATTTTACTTAAATGTTTATTTACTTATTTTCAGAGAGAGCGACGGGGGGAGGGACAGAGAGAGAGGGAGAGAGAGAATCCCAAACAGACTCTGCACTGTCAGTACAGAGCCCGACGTGGGGCTTGAACTCACAAACCATGAGATCATGACCTGAGCGGAGATGAAAAATTGGATGGTTAACCAACTTAGTCACCTAGGCACTCCCATAATATTAATTTTAAAGGGTGGCTAAGAGCCTCAAGTGGTAGGCAAAGTGATTACATAGTAAGAAATCAGTATACAATCACTCCACTGAGTTTATGGGTGAAACTATACTCTGGGCAAATCCTGCCTATCAGCCTCTCATGTATTTCTCTGCTCTCTACCCCCCTGCCTTCAGCAGCCTCCTAACCTTCTCATTTACTAACACCTCTTATATTTAATTTTAATTTTAGAGATCTCTTTGGAGTAATCACCAACCACCTCATCTGTTTCTATCACTGTCCACATGTCCCAGAATTTCACACCTTTTGCCAAAGTGTCCCCATCAACCCATTAAGTGTGCTGCCTCCTGGCTGTCTTTCCCTCCTCTCCTTATTCCAGCAGCTCAACTTTCCCTCCCAGAGGATAGAGGATGGCTTGGAGTGGCAAGAAATGGGTTGCAGTTCCCAGACTAAGACCATGTCTGGGGTGCATTTGGATTTTGTTTTTACATGAATGGCTAGGTTAGTCTGGGAGTGAAGCAGTACACTCTGGAATTTTGATTCATGGACTGTCTCTACCAATCTTTAGTTGAGGGATTCACTTAGTCACTTAATTTCTCAGGAGCCATTGATACCTATTTCATGGGCACAAAATACTAAGCAAGGTTAGTAATGCAATTGCTTTTTAAGGAGAAAATCTCAGAACATCAAGGAAATAAAAATGTTAAGTAAGAACTGCATTTAGATTTAAGGGCCTGGAGGTTGGAATGATGTCTAGTGTACTTTGTAGACATGAAACACACACCATGTACCTGAGAAATTTAGAAGTAACAACCTGGTGTCTTATTTGTCAAGTGTTAACAGGTTGGGAAAGAAAGCACTTTTCTCCAGCTTTCCACTTACCTCTGCAAAAACAAAGGGTGCATCAAACTGGAAGCAAATATGACCATGCTTAATGGCTTGAACAGAGGCTGGGCCACACCGATACATCCCTGCATCACACAGAGGAAGAGAAGTATGAGTTTGTCATCTTCAGTTCTGTCCAGACATAGATATGGGCTCTGTAGAGGCAAATGTTCCTAACCTCATTGCTGAGTTAGCCCAAATGCTTCCCATGGCCAGAGAGGGCGAACGACCAGCATATGTAATCAAGATGGCTTTGCTGGAAATGCCTCTTCAAACCAAAATTTGAAGCCATGAGAAGCATAGAGAGCATCAGTATTTCTGTGGCTGTTCTTCTACCTACAAACATGTACTCAAGTGTGTTCATACTGACCTGTTTGCCCACATAGGATTGATCCTTTTACAATGAGCTGGAGTCTGGAATGTTGGAAATGGTAATGTGTCCCCAGTGGTTGTGTTGTTATTTGTTTTGATTTTTGGTTTTTGGTTTTGGACATTATGGAAATATGTGTTAAATAGGGGAATTTGGACATAAACCACACACGTTGATCAATGTCCAACATGCATTCAGGAAGTCACTAGGCATATACTTTTATAAAGTTCCTTACATTTTAACCAGGTATCTCTAGTTAATAAGAAATTAACTTCTATTAGTCATCTCTGACATTTCCTCATGATATATAATCCAGAACACCAGAAAGTGTTGAACATTCTCAAAATCCAGCATAAATAAAGCATAAGAGTCTCTTATGAATAAGTAATGAATGTTTATGGATATATGTGTATATATACACACATCAATATCTCATATCAACACCTGAGGAAGTAAACATAATGTCCCCAGGCCACTGATGTTTATCATCATGTTAAAGAGAAATGGAGGCTTATGATGTGATTTTATAAAAATCTGGGGGAGGTCATGGCTGCCTCTCATTGCTTAGCAAAGCCTATAAGTTAGATGACAAATACATACTAAGTTTTAGAAGAAATCAAACAACATAAAAAGAAATCAGGTTCTGGGAAAACAACAATTTAAAGGATGATCTGTAACTATTTTTGGGTTCCTTATTTTCTCTATTGCCTTATATCTTATCAGTGTGTATCACAGAGGGTTGAGGTATATTTTAGAGCCTAGTAAACGTGCTTACACAGATATATTTTTTCTCTTGTCTTCAAAACTGCTTCTCAAAGCAAGGGTAGATGAATTACATATGTTAAGTTTTATGCTTTTTTTTTTTTTTTTTTTTTACCAGTTATAGGATAATCAGGGGAAAGCCGGTCATTGAAATGAAATTAAACCTGATTGACAGGCAGCTAATACTGTACATGTGCCCAGGAAACACACTTTTGATGTTGGTTCCCAATGGGAGTGTTTCCCATACATCAAATGTAATCCTAACAGCAAAATAAAGATGATTGGGAAATAAATTCCTTGAAGGAGGATAAGTTTTACCATCACTGTTTTCCTGGGGGGTGCTGTCCACAGCTTGCCAACCTCCAAATCCAACAGGAAGATCAGACCTTGTCATCCAGGCTTCATTCCAGCAGTGGTAGTTCCTGCGAAAACACCACTCTGGTGAGATTAAACCTCCCATTCCATTTCAAGAAATCAAAAAGTGACCAAAATTCCTGCAAATATGTGATCTAGAAATTGCTGGAATGGATTAAACCAAATTGAAGACTCTGAGAGATATCCTAGCCTTGAGTTTGCTGGGCAGTTGCATTCCCATTGGTACCTGTGGGAGGGCACCAGCTATCTGGACATGGCTCTTTCCTTCTAATATCAGTTTCAAAGCTACTCAGAGCATTAAACAGTTTTTTTAAATGTTTGTTTATTTTTGAGAGAGAGAGAGAAAGAGAGAGAGCATGAATGCATGGAGGAAGGACAGAAAGAGACGGAGAGAGAGAGAATCCCAACAGGCTCTGGGCTGACTCCATTTGATCCCATGAACAATGAGATCATGAACTGAAATCAAGAGTCTAATGCTTAACAGCCAGAGCCATCCAGGCACCCTAAACAGTTTTGATCTTAACCACTCTCTGCTTTAATGAAACAGAAAGCACTATATGCTAAAAGGGTAGAAAGTTTAATTGAAATAGAAATACATATATCTTTGAATTTCTTTTATATTTATATTTACATTTATGCATATTAGATTTATAAAAGGCATATTTTTTGTAACAATTAAGCAACAAAATTCTTGTGTTTATGGCCTTAGGCCATTGCCATAGAAACTATAACATTAACTCCTGACTATAATTGTCTCAAATTTGTGGCAAATTTCCATTTTGTGTCCAACAAGAAGAAAAGGATGTCAGAACAAGTATCTCTTATCCCTTTATGAAAGGTGGGCAGCCCATGAGCTGAGGGCCATGCAAAACTTTTCAGGACTTGCATGTGACCCATAAGGCAAGATCATGGAATAAAATGTCATCATGAATTGTATTATTATGTCCTTGGAAAGAGCTGAATTTATATGACAGTACAGAAAAAAATGAGAGCACATTAACCCGTCCATGCTATAGAAAATATTCATATAGTAATAACGATTTAACAGCAGGGTAAGGTATTCTTGCAGTCTTTGTTTATAGCACTGATGAATTTCAAATCCAACTACCACTTATCCTTTGCTTAAATGTCCTTCAAAGTCAGGAATTCGTACATGTTCCCATCTCTGAGTTTGGCTCATCTTTGATTGGCTCAAGTCAGAGCTATTAATTTAACTATGCAGCCTTTATGTACCAGACTAGATGCTGGGGATGTGACAATGACCAGCACCTAGGTTCTTGTCCATAGACTCTCATGATCCAGGAGGAGTAACGAACAAGTAAACCAATTTGCTGTGAGGCTTAAACAAGATAATGCATGTAAAGCACTTAGAACAGAGCCCAGAATGTGATAAGTGCTCAAAAATAGTTAAGTCTCATACTTTTAAAAATAATTAATAGCAGTGGTTTTAGCTACAGTGGAAATTGGTGTGGGGTGCACTGGGTCTCAGTGGGGCAACTCTCAGGGTGTGAAGAAAAGCTTCACAGCAGGAGTGATATTTGAGCTAAGTCCTGAAAAATGTAGGAGTTTAGAAAGTCAACAAGAGACGAAAGAACAAAATTGTAGAGGCATGAAATAGCCCACATGGTGTATCTGGGGGACTGCATGCTGTTTGTTGTGGCATGAGGGCACCATGCTCACATCTCTGTGTGCATGGGGGAGGAGGGGTGGGAAGTGAGCGTGGGCAGGGAATTACAAAGCTGACAAATAGTGTAGCACTCACTGTGTGCCAGGCATTATTGTCAAACTTTTATGTACATTGGTACATCTGAGGTTCCCATACCCTATTAGAAAAGTACTACTATTCTTAACTTCAGTGTGCATGGGAGAAAACTGAAGCACAGAGAGGTTAAGAATCTTACCTGAGGTCACACAGCTGGTTAGCTGTAGAGTTCTAGGGCCCATGCTCTTAAACCATGAGCTATGCCATTGGGGAGGATGAGACTGTGAGATTCTTTTATCCAAATCAAATGATTGAGTTCTATTCTTGGGCAAGTTAAATTTGCAAATCTGTCTTTGTGGAAGGTGGGCGGGGAGGCAAGATGGGTGACAGAGCTGAGGTGGCCTCCACCCCCATGGGGAGGGCCAGGAGCCACAGGCGAGTACCGCCAACAGGCTTGTGGTGGTGAGGCAGCAGGATGAGCGGGGGAAGACTTACGTGTTTCCAGGGAATATGCTGGCTCCATTTACCAAGACTGAATGAAGGAGGAAGAGAAGACGATTTGTGTTGGTGTGTGTGTATTGGGTGGGTGACAAGTTCAATTTTGGACGTGATGAACTCAGGTGCTCGTGAGAAAGGAGGTAAAATCCTAGAGACATTTTTTCATGCACATGTGACAGTCAGGATTGGACAAGTTACTGGCGACTGCACCCCTGGTGGAGGAGAGTGGGGGTAGAGCCAGAGGAAGGGAGCACAGGGAGCATAGGTTTCTCCCCTCAGAGTGATCTAGGTTGTGAACATAGGGCAGTGGCTAGAACGTAATGCAACACAGGAGGATTGTTTTGGTGATTTTCACATTAGGAGAGATTGTTGTGCTTATGGAGGAGGGACCAGTGGACAGGAAGCAGGAAGAGAGAATAGGAGATGAAATAAAAGGAGATTGAAATACCAGGAGGATGAGGTTGAGAGCCACACTATGCATGGGTGTGGGGAGGGAGGCATTATCCACAGGGGGAACGAGGTGTAGATGTAGATCAAGGTCAAGGTGTGGAGGTATTGGGACAGGCACATGAGGTTGGTTCCTACTTGAGAACCTGCATCTTTGCTCTGAAGATGGAAGAAAGGTCACTGTGAGCTTAAACACGACTGCTGGCCTTCCTTCAGAACAGTAAAAGTTGCATCATTAGGCAGAGAGATCCAGAGAAACAGCAATGAAACATTTGCAAAATCCCAAATGGACCTAGTCCTGCTTCCTACACAATCCGTGTGGGCAATCTGTGTTTAGCAATCCTGGCTCTTGTTAGGATTCCACTGTTACACCACTACCCTAGATTAATAGGCACCAGAATCTCCTTATTTAAATTCAAATATCCTGGGCCAGGTTAGCCTTGAACAAGATAAACAAGTTTTGCGTTTCAGATCTCAGAAAAGGAACTAAGGTTGGGGTTGGTCCTTAGACAGTGGGTGGGAAGCCAATGGTTGTGCTCCCAGACCAGCCTTGAACAGAGTGGGAGGGTGCTACCTCAGAAGCCATGGGTTTTTTAAAAATCATGCCATTCTCTCTGCTCAAGAATGGCCAGGGAAAACTCATGCCACAACAGTTCCCTTTGGGCTGGATGTTAAGTATTTCTGGTTACACATGCTTGTCTTTGATTTCAAGGTCCCCTGTGAAAGGGGCTAATATTTACAGACATTTCTGAATTCCATTTCCTTGCTCTGCAGGTTTGGAAATGCATATGCTTCCTGAAAGGTTATTTTAAAGTTTCTTTATCTAGATCTGTCATAGTCTTTCTGTTTTCATCTTGTAATTTCATTATGCATTCGTAGTGTGAGTGATTCACTTCTGGGGCTCTGTCTGGTTCACCATCATATTCCCAGCACTAAAGCTAGCCCTTAAGAAGTACTCGAAAAGTATTGCTTGGGTGAAGGGCAAGGACAACCCCTAGCAAGTGTAAGACATCTCCAAGGCAGGTGTAATTAAACTTTTGCTTGTTAGTTATAAGATTCATGGTTTTATATTTTCTCAGAGGCTTCATTTGAAACCTGACTTCCCACTCTACAATCAGAATGCACAGTGTTACTTTAAAGGTAAAAGAATATTACAAACCTTCAAAGTGATCTAGTTTTCTCAATGCTGGTTTCTAAAGAAGTGGTGTGGAAATTAAAATAAAGCCCCCATTTCATCTAGAGTTATTTAATCAAGTTGAAAATAACTTTTTTTGAGGGAGAATAATGATGGTGGTGACAAGTGACAAGTGCTTTATGTTACTTTTTGTAGGTTTCCTACACTGACAGCTAGTGATTTCTAGAACTCCTTTCAAGGATGCTAATAACTCAGAAGAATTGGTACAAAGGATCCACAGAATCTTCACCAAAGGCAGAACCTCACTGGAAAAATAGCACCATGCATTGCTGAGGGACCGTTGGATGGATTGTTGTAACATTGGTTTAGTTTATCCTTTGATTCAGTAAACCCGTTTCCTTGGAATTTATGTACAGCAAATAATCACACAGGTGCAAAGACAAGTACATCTGAATGTTCATTTTGTATAATATGCAAGAAGGAAAAATCAGAAATACTCTTAATAATACATAATTGTTTTGAAACACAAAACAGAATATTATGCAGCCACAAAAATGCAGATATACATTTATCAGGCAGGAAAGATACTTATGGCATATTAAGTGTTAAAAATCATACCCCTGTACACACACTGTGTATGTGTTCATTATGCATGTAGACATGTGTGGAAGGCAGAATTTTAAGTGACCTTCACTCTTGTATAATTTCCTCCCCTTCAATGTGGGTGAAATCTAAGAATAGGATGCTGTATCATACCTGTGATTATGTTACTTTATGTAGCAAAGAGGATTTTGTAACTAAGGTAAGTAACCAGTTAACTCTGAGTTGATTAAAAGGGAGATATCAGGGTGGGCCTGACTTAATCAGGTAAGCTCTTTAATCAGGGACAGAGCTAGGTGGAGACTTGAAGCAGCAGAGATATTCTCCTACTAGCCCTGTAGAAGATGGTAGCTTCCATGAGTTCTACAGCTGCAAGGAACTGAATCTTTACAACAACCTAAAAGCTCTTTAAAAAGAGCCCTGAATATCAGATGTGACCACAGCCCCACTTAACACTTTGATTGCCAGTACTTGGGACCCTGAGCAGAGGACCCAGTTAACCTATGCCCAAACTCCTGACCCAGAAAAACTGAAAATAAACTTGTGTTCTTTGAGGCTGCTAAGTTTTCGGTAATTTGTTATGCAGAAAAAAAAAAAAAAGAATATGATATGCAAACAGACATATCAAAGGATGCTTAAGGAGATACTGGAAATGTTCTGAGTAG